TCGGCACGATTGTGTCTGAATCCTAGAATCACAGACAATGCGGCTGGGAAGGGAGCTCAGGGGGTCACATCTAGTGCAACCCCCTGCTCCAAGCAGGACCAGCCCCAACCACATCATCCCAGCCAAGGCTTTGTCTACCTGGGTTTTGAAAACCTCCAAGGATGGAGACTCCCCCACCTCTTTGGGCAACCTGTTCCAGTGCTTTACCACCCTCCTAGTGAGAAAATTCTTCCTACTATCTAACCTGAACTTCCCTTGCTGCAACTTGAGACCATTACTCCTTGTTCTGTTTGACCTTCTGCACATTTCCCTCTGTTCTTGGCTCCTCATCCCTGGCCTCTCGCCGGCAGGCAGCTGTTGGCTGCCTTGGGAGAAGACCCTGTCAGCCAGCATATTTGCTCCGGCAGCATTACAACCATAGGGCCTGAGCACCATGCAAATACACCGGGCATTGCCAGCATTGCAAACGCAGCTGGTGCAGACATTGCTGTGGGAAGGGAGAGGTGGGGGTGAATCTCTGCTTGCCCCCCTGGATGGAGATGAGCAGACCGCTTCCCAACACCAGGCCTTTTCCGGGGGTCCTGGCTCTTGAGTCACGTCACGTTGAGCTAGTGTTGTCAGAGGAATGACTCACGCCCTGGAGTTAATAAAAACTTCTGCCATGAAGCCAAACAATTAGGCCTTCAACATGCATCTTTCATGGGGCATCTGTTAAATATGCAACAGAGCTTCTTGCTTTCCAGAGGCAGGACTGGAATTGGGAATCAGGTACAAGCATAGCGTAGCAGCTTCTATTTATACAGAGACACGCTACACGGAGGGTGATGTGGAGCTCTTGCAGGCGCCCGGGGTTTTCACTGGCTTCGCTCCAGCCGACGAGCTCTGATCCTCAGGGTCCTTCGGCATTTGTTTATGGAGAGAGCACTCTTTTCTGCTGCACGTTGGCTCAACCACGCGGCTAATTGGGGACACAGCTGTGATCCTGGCAGCGGTTTCTATTATGAGAAGGACAAAACATCTGATAGATCCTGCCCCAACCCAGACCATTCGCTGGCTCCAAGTGCTTTCTTCTCCATCAGGAAGGATACTTTCCTCCTCTCTCCTTTACGTTAGCATGTGATGTTATCCCAGTCTGCAGCCTCAAAACCCGTGTGTCTTCCCGACCCCTTAAGGGACCTGACAGACACATCTCTGGACCTTGGGTCCATTTGAAACCTGAGTGACGGCAGGCACCTGTACAGACCCGTCTCAGATAAATTGCTGGGAAGCCGCTTGCCACCTTCTTGCAGGTGTAGTCTGAGATAACAACCCCCATCCCACTTCTGTGCGATGAGAAGCTCATACTTCAATGTGCTGTTCCTCGGAATAATTATGCATGATGTTGTACTGCAATCTCGTTGCCTCTCTCTAATGCCTGAATTCAGATTCTCCTGGTGAACGTGACACAACACTGAAATAATGCCTGGCTCGGTGGCTTCTCAGTGCCCGTAAACAAGCTGCAGCTGGCAGGACGTACACAGCTTCTTGAGCACATTCGCAGCTCTCCCTCTAGAGCCCCTCTCAGTTCATTAGCATCAAATGTTCCGGTTTCTTTCGTTTCGCTTAAGACGAACAAGGAAACCAGCGCCTGAATCTTCCTGCCTGGCCTGGATTCAAGCCAGGGATCCTGCATACAGAGAGATCACTCACTTCTGTAATGGACTGTGCAGGGCGTCACGTTGCGTTAGCCTCTGCAACTGTTGGCGATGAGAGTTAGTTGGCATTAGCGGGAGATGATGTTGAGTTAACTGTTAAGACTTTGAGAGTTGTTCCTGCTGGAGCTGGTGGGGGCAATGTGCGTTATCTGGCAGTTATCTATGCCACGGGTAAGGAGGTGATGGGGCTGGAGCCCAGTGAGGATGCTCTAGCCAGCCTAACTCAGCATGGAGAAGGAAAGACTGCAGCATGTGCCTGGGAAAGCTGGCCCTTCCCCATCCTCTGCCACCTTCCCTGTTGCAACTGGGCTACCGACCAAGGGGTCAGGATCCAGAGGAATAGGCATGAGAGAGCTTGAACTTGCAGTCCTGTGATGAGGCCCTGCCCTGGGGAGTGTCTGTCCCTGGGGCTCTGGCCATCTGTAACCAGGGATTGTCTAATACAGAAGGCAGAGAAAGTCCGGCAGCAGGGCCCAGGACCCAGGCCTCCCCTCTTGCAGACAGCTGCTCGCCTGTAGCCAGGCTCCCCATCCCATACTCCTCCTGAAGACATAACCCATGCACCCTGGGCCACCGTGGCTCAGCACCAGCCAGCGTGGGCCAGGAGGAAGCAGGGGTCTATATGCAAGGAGCTCTGTAGCCTCATGCTTAAGGCACTCCCCTGCAAAGCAGGAGGTTTTGGTCCTTTCACTTGAGGAGGCCTGGAGCCTGGACCACCCATTTCTTGTGGGTTGACTCTAACCACTAGGCCTGTGTGTGGGAGGTGAGAGTAGCCGGGGTGCTGAGCTTGGTGCTCTCACTCCAGACGGCAGCTGGGGGTGCTCCACAGACACCTGATGGACCAGGGGTGTGAGCAGACCTCCGGTGCCTCCCAGCCAGGATCTGCAGGGCAACAGCTTGGACTCACCTATGCCTAATGTTTAAGCCCCTAAGCCCTTGTATGCACCTTGAGTGAAGGGGTTTTGAGGGCTGTCGTAATGCTCTCAACATATGTACTCATCCTTTATCCTTCTTTTTGGTGCATGTGATGGCTCTGCAGGCCACGGCCTCCACAGAGGGAGGTTCACGGGGAGCTCCATGGGGTGCACAGGTGATATGTATGATGCCAGCACCTTTGCATGCTGGAACTGAGAGCTAGAGGGTCTTGCCCCTCCACTCAGGATCAGACCAATGCCATAGTTGGGGTTAGGAAGGAATTTTACCCCTGGTTAGATTGGTATGGACTTGGGGTTTGCCTTCCTCTACAGCAACCCCTCAGTCCATACCAATTTGACTGGGGGTAAAAGATCCCTCCAGTGTATTTTAACCACCTTTGCAGCAGCAAGACTTCAGCTGTCCTGGTCCCTCTGCTTTCACTGTCACAGGTTTAGGTGTGATGTCTGGTGCTGTGTCAAGGGTGACTGTGAAGTTTTGCTAAAAAGTTGCTGGATTTGGATAGGACAGATGGGCAGGGCTGATCCTGCCTCAGGCAGCAGTTGGAGGTCCCTTCCAACCCCACTTCTCTGGGATTTTTTGCTTCTATAAACCAGGCATCCTGAATGCAGGCAACCTTGGACCTTATTCCCTGCCAAGCTCTTGGAAGTCACTGGGGTCTGTGTGCTGGGCTGGGTCTCTCAGAATAGCTCTGCCTCTGGGCTCACGAGAGCTGAGAGTCAGGGGGAGAACATCTGTGCAGCCTGTGGGAAGAAGCCCCCCATGCCCTGCTGTGCAGCTGGCGACTAGTAGGCAGACGACTAACCAGAGGGCACGAGCAGGCAGAAGGGCGGGAGGGTGCGGCCAGCTGGTTCTCTCCGGGCTCAAAGCAGACTGGATTTGGCATTCCTGCTGCATGCAGCAGTCTCCTAACCCAGGATCAACACTGGGGCCAGTGGAAGCAGGCTAAAGCACAGCTCTACCAAGGACCTACCTGTGCAACCTGTTGCCTCCACCCGTGGCTGCAACAACCCATGGCTGCAGTGAGCCAGACCCACTCTGCATATGATGCTGCTACTGGCCAGGCAACAGGCTTATGCCCTGCACTAATGCTGTTCTGCAGAGCTTGGGCTGCTCCCGGTTGCTGTAATGCGAGTGTGCATGCATCCAGCTGTGCCCGTCTCAGCTTGTCCCCGGGTTTGCCACCACACCTCTGCTTGTGTTAATAATCCCCACTTTGCAACAACAGTGCGCCAGTGCCTGTTTAAAACCCTTCCCTCACTCCCTCTGCTTCCAGTCCATCTCAGAGCACACAAGGCTCCCAGCCTGGCACAGCTGGCCTCTCTGGATGGACAAGGATCTGACACTGGGTTCAAGGGCTGAATCCCTTTGTGGCTGTTGCTCTTACTTTTGGGCTTCTCCCCATGGCTAGCAGCCTCTTGGGATGGTGGGACCCTGCTGCCCAGATGCCTGCATCCTGGAACCAGTGCCGAACAGTAACTGTGACAATGGTGTGAATGAAGCGTGGGGCTCAATGCACAGGATCTGTGCCCTTCGGAAGGCGTCAGACCCTGAAGAGATGATGTGAGAGTTGATGGGACCTGGCTCGCTCACACCAGCCCCAGGGAGCCCTCCTGAGTCCTAGCACCTGATGCCACCACTGTGCTCTGTGTTTGGGCAGCCCCCGGCACAGTGCGGCTGTGAGCTGCTAGATGCTGCTGCTGTATGAATAAAGACACTGTAGCTATGCTGGTGCCTGAAAGAGCAGGGCTCCTGCGAAGGCCCAGTGTCAGCCAGTCCCACAGTGCACCATTCGGTTCCTCTGTCCAGGGAAACGCTCATTAGCATAGCGTGTACACTCTCCTTATTTGCTTATTAGTGTGTCTGCTCCTTATTGTGTTATTAAGGCCCAAAATATTTGGAAGCTTTTTAGCGAAGGCTAATCAGCGCATTGGAAACCCTTCCCGGGCTCGCACTGGGCCGGGCACAGCAAGCATGATGGAAAACCTGATTGCCTGGTTACTTGAAAGCCTTGATCTGGGCATGGAGGTCTGCTGGGTCAGCTGGGGCTTTGCTGTGGGCTTGGGAACAACATCTCCCACAGCCCCCCAGAGCTCTTGGAGCTAAAATGAGGCCACACTCTGCATCTCAAGTAGACTGCTGGTCAGTCTCCCCTGGGAAGTGCTCAGTGCCCTCACACATGAGTTATTTGCAACAGGACAAAGCCCTGGGAACAGGCTGTGGGGAGTAGTTCTGTGCCAGGTCCCCAGGGATGGCTTTCACTGGGACCTCATAGGCCTGTCTGGCCACTGCACTCTGCTCAGCTTTGTTCTGCTGCAAATGGATGTTCATGCTTGATTAATCCCTTTTGTGCTGGCTGCCTTTGTTTCCCAGGCCCACGTGTTTGATCTGAGCATTAACAAGTACGAAGCGATCTGCTCCCAGCCTGTGGTGGCCAAGAAGAAAAACAAGATCACCCACGTCCAGTTTAACCCCGTCTACCCTGTCATCATCATCGGGGACGACCGAGGCCATGTGACCAGCCTGAAGCTCTCCCCCAATCTGCGCAAGATGCCTAAGGTAAGGGCACCGTCATGGATGCACAGGTCTCCCGTGTGCAAGGCACAGCCTGTGGCACCAGGCCTGTGTGGCCTCAAGCAAGTGGCTTCCTCTTGCTGCTCCTGAACTTTTCCTCCTGCAGAATGGGAATCATGGTAGCGACCCTCTTGTAAAGCCCTCGGGGTCATGAGAAATGTTCTGCACAGTAAGGAACAACACTAGCTGTGGGGGCTGTCTCTGCTCTGTGTGGACATGGGGAAAAGGAAACTCAAGTTTTTTCTAGTTGGCCAGTAGGCCAGTTGTAAGATGCCCCATCCTACAGGGCAGTAACTACATGTGAGCAGGTGGTTTCCAAACACAGGTCACAGGCTATGTTGTAGTAGCTCCACACTCACACCTTTGTTGAAAGCAGGGAAGAGACGCACCTTGTAGACTAACTAGATAAGAGATGCGTAAGCTGTCATGATCTTGGGCTCATGAATGCTTCTGCATCTCTGGCTTAGTTAGTGTATAAGGTGTATCTTTACCCTGCCTCCTGCCTGACTTCTTAGAGTCATCGAAAAGTAGGGCTGGAAGGGACCTCAGAGGTCATCTAGTCTAGTCCAGATGAACACAGCTACCTACCTCACCCTACCTTTGTTGCAGTTCTGGTTTTATTCACAAAAATGGGACAAAATAAGCTGCTGCCTAAGCCTGACTTCCTCTTGGGGTCCCCTACAGGGCTGACACCCTTGCTCCCTCTCTCTATAGGGAGCACATCATCTAGAAACATAGGACCAGCCTCCCAGGCCACCCAGTCCCACCCCCCACGACCTCAGGCAGCCAGAGCTGAAGATCCACTTTAGCTGTAGGTGACAGATTTGCCCTCACTACCCCTGTTGGGAGTTTGCTGTAGAATCCCACAGCTGGAACAGACCTCGAGGGGCATCTGAGTGCACCCCCTGCACAGATGCAGGCTGTGCTGTTCCTACCCCATTGCAGATGCCTTTCCAGCCTCTGCTTGGAGCCTTCCAGGGAAGGAGCTTTATCAGCTTCTCCCAACCTTACAGCTTGTTCATTCGCACCTACTTGCAACAGCCACATACCTGCCTCAGCAACTTGGTGAAACCTACCTAGCCCTCTCCTGCAAGCTCAGGACTAGGTAGTAGCCCAGGATGCTTCTGATAAACTCTTCCATGTTTCTTAACTAGTATTAACCCAGGGCTGCAGGTGTGCTGCTCATTCAGCTATGTGAGCAGGACTGCTTTGTACTGCAGGGCTCTTCTCTGTCAGCCCTGCATAATCCCTGAATACAGTCTTTTTTTGTTAGTGGAGCATTTTCACATGGACTTCACAGCCCTGAGTGGCATTCATTCAGGCGGGCAGCATGGGCAGCTGCATGAAGATCTAATATAGGTGATGCTGGCATGGAGAAAGGAAGTTTCTTTTGCTTTCTTCACAGCTCTAGCCCAGGGACATCCAAACTCTTTGCCTGGCTCACAGCTCATTCTTTTACTGCCTCCCTTGTTGATCCACTAATTCTTGGGCATATGTAAGCCACCATTTCTGCTGCTCAGGGTGTCCCAAAGATTGTTCTAAAGCTGGAAAGGCTCCGGTGGTCCAGCAAGGGTACATCAAGCAGAGGGGCCCAGACAATGCAGTTGTTTAATCCCTTTGCTCTGCACTAAAATGCAGCCACATCTGAGACGGAACTGCAGCGCTTTGTCAGACACTTGTCCAGTAACCGGCAGTAGTTACTGACTTTAAAAATGACAAGCCTCGCTTTTCAGGAAGTGTGCAAATGGGATGCAAGTGATGGGCTCCTCTTTGTAAGATTTTGCTCTCAGCCATTATTAAGCTGTTCATCTTCTGCTTGCCTCATTGTCTTTGAAGGGACATTTAACATGGGATTAAATGTGTCCTCCACATGTGGGGAGGACGGAGGGGCAACCAATAGGCAGCAGAAGGCTGATCTGTGCAAGTCGCCTGTCTAAAGTCAGGTCTGAATTAAAAGCAATGAGATCCCTAATGACTAATGACACGTGCTGGCTGCTGTAGGTCCTGCAGACCCAGCCTGGCTGCCTGGCTGGCCACACGCAGGTGTGTGAACTGGAGTGAGGAATCAGTGAGTTTGTTCTCTAAGGCAAACATGGTGCTTGTGGCCTTAAGCACTTCCAGCATCACATAATGCAAGACAATAGAGGAAGGCAATGTAGGGACCCAGTAGGGGATTCTTCATGACCTGGGAAAGTCCTGCCTGGGTTGTGGCATTAAAATTGGGGCATCTTGGAAATCCAGGAATAGGCGTGAATGTGTTGCCCAGTTCACACAGTGATCCCTCTAGTCAGTGTGTCAGGACAGGAGGGCTCCTAGATTCTGTTCTCAGCTGTTGACTAGCTGCATGGACTCAGAGAGCAGCCATGGAAACCCACAATTGCAAAGCCCTCAATTGCAAGGTCATTCCTTGGAGTCTCAGAAAAGCAGAGAGTCCCTAGCCCTGAAGAAGGGCGATTGTGCCCGAAAGCTTGCTAAGAACTTTTTTTCCAACTATCACATCTGTCCAAAGAACCTTGCCTGCCTATGTCCTTAGACTGTTTTCTTGCAAGTGAGGTGCCCTGAGCTTCCTGTTGTTCTGCTGTTGGCTCTAACACCACCCGTACATAACGGCCTCAAAGCTGGACTGTATGAGGAAGCTGTGCCGCCCTTCCATCTGCTTGTCTGGAAACCAGGCCCTGCATTTTCTTGATGGTCCGGGCAGCACTAACAAGCTGACAGGACACAATGGCTTCCTGGTCTCCTGCGCTCACCCACGTGTCCTTTTTGCCCTCTGATCTTTGTGTACGGTGCTAGGTGAGGAGCGGGGCTGTGCTAGGCTGCTGCTATTCATAGCTCCCCGCACAGCTGGGCCACGTGCTCCAGGCAGGTAAGACAAGCAGCCTAATCACCTCGCTCGACAGAGAACTCTTAATAGCCACATGTCATTCCAAAACCTCTCTTTCTCCCTAATAATAGACGGGGGCTGTCTGCTCCACGGGCAGGATTTGTATATTCTGGCAGATTCCTTAATGCCGGCATGTAATTGGGTTTGCCGGGAGAGGGATCACCGGGAGAGACAGAGCTAAACGCAGCTCAGCTCCTTTGAAGTTGAGGGAGTTATGGCAGGGCTGAGCTTAATCCTGCTTGTCTCAGAGTTGAAGCATGGAAAGGGGGGCGGGGAGAAGCCAGGACTCCCGGGCTCTGTTCACAGTGCTGCCATGGACTCCCCGCGTGTCCATGAGTCACTCTGCTGCCCTTTGCCTACCTGTCAGGTAAGCTGCCAGAGGTGCGTGCAGCTCAATTCATTCAAGTTTGTAGACACCAGAAGATCCTCAGCTCAGCACTGTTACCATGGCTTCGATTCTTAGCGGCGTGCAGCACAGAGAAGCCAAAGGATGAAACTTTCAAAAAGACGTGAAACCCACTTCCTAACGTGACCTCCACTGCGCCCGAGTCAAATCTCCAGAGTGCCATTGTCTCTTGAAGGCCCTAAGGTCCTGCATCACTGTGACGTGTTTGGAAAACATCCCCTTCAGCTACTAGGTGCCTGTGTCACTTCTGAAGATGGGATTTAAGTAGGGTTGGGGAGCCGGTCAATCAACGGGTCAGACATTGCCAACTGACTGTCAGTTGACTGCATATTTTTGGCTGGTCAAAGATTATAGAAAAGTTTCCAAAAAGCTACATTTTTTTTGTAGTTTTCTTGACAGAAATATGGTTTTGTTTTGTTTTTTGACACATTTCTTAATGGCAAAGTTGTGCTTTTTCTGTGTATTATTTGGACCTATTAGCAATTTTTTACAATTGTTGATAAATATTGACTGGTCAATTGAGCAAACTTTCTTTGAGCAGTCAAATACCCAACCCTAGATTAGGTACCTGTAACAGGGTGGTTTGTCCCCGTAAGAGAGAGTAGCCAACCTGGCTGAGGGCCAAAAAGGATTTTTTGTGTAATTTCCTTGCTTTATTTGCTAAAAGAATGATTATTGCTGGGTTCTGTTGAGAGAGGCTGGGGGAGCAACAGCCTGATGAAGCCCGAGAGAGCGACCCCCTGTAGTACCTTTGCCAGCTGTGATGCAGGATCTCTTATAAATTGAAGCGTGAGAAACCACAACATAAAAAAGCATTTGTGATCCCCAGCATCCAGTGCGTTAGGGAAAAGACCACTGGTCCAGCTGAGC